TTTAGTCCTGAAACAAATTTTCTTGGCACTGGTACAAAATCTGTTTTTTTCTTGCCTCCACAGACTATTACAGCTTTGTTTACATTTACATGTGTTTTACTTTGTTGTCAATGCATTTTCCTGATTTTACCTTGCATGGTAATTTACACACAGTCCCTACCCCACTGATGCAAGTCACTTCCTCTCTCTCTGTTTCTCCCTTGCTCACTTTATCCACCCAGCTGTAGATCAGGGATGCATGAATTCTGGGAAGGAGGATACTGGCAGAAGTAAAAGGGATGGAGGGGGGGTGAGAGAGAGAGAGAGAGAGAGAGCAGGAGGAAGAGGAGCAGGTAAAAGGGAAGACACTCTAGGACAGAGTGTGTTGGAGGGCAGCATACTGTAGCATACTGCTGTGCCGTGATTTTGGGCTGAGCATGGGAGCGGCAGGACCAAGAGGCGAAGGGGACACAGTGACGACACAAAGTGATTTGGTGCCTGATCAATAAAAGGTATATTAGTTCAGAAGCTGGAGGTGGGGGGCTTATTAAGCAGCGGTGCTTTGCAGAACTGACTGCACGCAGACTCTTCTGAGTTTGAATTCTACCACCATGGAATTTAAAATATGAAGACCAAGTCACTTCAAACCTGAAGGACCTAGGAGGACATAAAACAGAAGGTGAAAAACTAGCTCCTTTAATTATGATTGAACAAGGACTGAACAACATCAAAGGACTCAATATAAATCAAGTCATCTTTCAGCGGGATCAAACAAAACTCAGGTATGTCCACTAAACGGATGACAAAAATACATAAATTAGCAATTCAGTACAGTATGAAACTGCCTTTTTTGTTCTGATCGTATAAAAAGTGAAGGAACACTTCTTTTTTCTCCTATGCAAAGGGGGATTTAATGGTGTGTTAACAGGGCAGGATATTTGCCACTTAGTGATAGACAGTGACGACAGTCATGGGTCACCTGACTGAGCTCAAGTAACATTAGTTGACATGACATCCAAAATAACAGTCCCTACAGGTCTAGATGTCTAAATGTTCTTTTGACATTTCCGGCATCCCTGGATGAAGGCTGTTGGGGAAGATGGAGGAAGGAAGCCTTGTCAGAATGTGTTTGCATGAAATTTATGTCATAAATCAGCCCTCACTCACAGAAACATATTCATGATTTAACTGTGTAATAATGAAATATCTGCTCATTTGCAAAAATCCACACATTACTGCTGCGTTGTTTACTAATGAACTGTTGTTACGTAAATCATTAAAATGACCTCCTGCACACACAACAAAACTGGCACATGCAATTCCATAGGTGTCATGGGTGCACACGCAAAGACACACACAAACAAACCTTCTGTGAAAGAATGTTCCACAGGAATGCAAGCAAAGCTTAATGAAGTCTATAGTGTAACATTAGTGTATACATTGCGAAAGACAACAGCTTGGTATGATAAACATTACAATGAGGGGAGTGACAGTTCCCCTCCTGAGCTGTGTTTTGAAATGTATTCCACAAATGAAAATTATTCTGTATGCTGTCAGACACTGAGAGGGGATCTATGCAGAACATCTGAAATGCTAATATAATATAGGACACAGCAGGAACCTCCTCTTCTTATTGGTAGTAACAGTCTGACACTCTTATTTCTTATTCAGTCAAGCTATGTTAGGGAAGCTTGAAAGTGAGAGCATATTTCTCTCTGTCTTATCGCAAAGCTTCAGTAAATTTTTTGACAACTCATTATCCTTTAATTCTGCAGTACCAAAGCAGTTTCTTGTCTCAGTTCAAGCTCTGTGCATTATTTCCACTTATCCTGCTTACTCATGGATTTCTTTCACAGCACCATCTCAATTGCCTCTCACTGTGAACTTGTTCCTCTCTTACTTTTAGATGGACATAATGGTGTGGAAACTGCAGCTTTCTTGAATTATTATACTTTTGAGTCAGTCAGAAAAGGGATGGGGAGGCGAATGGCTGATCTGACAACTCCAGTTCCAGTTTTAGGTGTCCCTGCCTTGGTTGGAGTGTGTGGCTGGAAGACAACGGAAGGAGACAAATCAGGGGTAACCCTGCTGCAGAAATGGGGACTTCAGTGCAGTGTTGGTATTCAGACATCCCCAGGGATAAGCAGACCATCTACCCAGGACAGTGTAAAGCATAGTGATACACTTGCTATCCTGTCAGACAGTATTACTCAGACATCCAACAGTTCTATTACCAAGGAAACAGAGTACAAGAAGATATCACTGCTAACAAAAAGTGACAAGGAGAAAATGGCTATTTTAAAACAGAAAAGTGAAGAATCCAAGACCAAAAAAGAGATTACATTCAGAGAACTTGGAAGTGAGACCTCTAAGGATGAGGCCGGCAGTAAGAGGAATGCCACTAGGACTTATTGCTATGCAAGGGCAATTAAGACCAACTCACATTTTGCAGGGAATGCAACTAATGTCAGACCTAAATTGAAACCCACTGCCCGCTACACTAACGGCAGCGTGGTTGATTCTGAGGCGACTGGTGGAATTTGTATTGATAATGATGAAGTAGAACATATAAAGAATGCATCCTTCGGTGGAAGACAGCAAACCAGACTGCAAGATCATTATGCAGAGCAGTCTGGGAAGATGCTGCTGTTATCTTCTGCACGACTTTTTGATACGCCACAAACAATATACAGCCACTGTGGCGGGAAACAGTCTGCAACCGGAGCTGCCGCTTTGGGGAAGAAAAGCCCTACTGCCCACACTTGCCCACTAAAGTCAGCCCTCACATCACCCTCGACTACCACACATTTTCAGCTTCCCCACAAGCCACCCCAGCATCAAATACCTGAAAACAACACAAACAGAGACAACAGGATGCACATTACAGTCAATCCACAAATATATCTTAACAAAGAACTAAAGTACAGAAAAGCACCACATCTGGAGTGCCCGGTACACTCTAAAGGCAATCGGGTCACTTTGTCACATGCACATGCTACTGGTGATGCAACATCCACCCAACCCACCACCATCCTACATGCTAAAACTATCACAGTCACAGAAGCAACTATTGAAACAAGACAAGCTGATGCCACTTTAAAATCCTTTGTAAAACAGGTGCAAGAAAATAAGAGCCCCCAACCAATGAGTCTAATATTGACCCCACAAATGACCACAGCTACCAAACCAAACAACCCACATCCACACACCAATCCTAAGCTCCCCAAGACATCGCAACACAACTCTTCACAATATAATGTGCCTCCAAATGTATGTGTATCTGTGCAAGCTACACCTGAAAATACTCTGTCACCACCTTCTCATTTGTACATCACAACAGCAGGACCTGGAAAAACATCCAATACCAACACACACAAAACAGCCACAAACTTGAATGCTACACTGATGTCTGCAGAAAGTATTGCTACAAATGTTAATGCTCAAAATGAAACTCTGCACTCAGTTTGTAGAGCCAGAGTAAACATAGCAACAACTAGAACTGACAGCCCGCTGATGACTGTGAAATGTTCCACCTTATCAAAATCAGTCAATGCACTAGACCACATTCATGCATCAGAAACAACTGCCCAACCTACACCTGCAAGACAACCATGTATGTCACCTGATCTTGCTCATAAAACAAAGGAGAACCTATCCTCAGGTGTTGAGGTTAACCCAACTGCATTCTCCACTGTTGCTAATATACCACAAGTCAGCACTCTGGTTCCACACAGCACTTTGACTCAAAATGCTATTTCAGCTCAAAATATAAGAGCCAGGACTAAACATAATACTAAATCTACAGCTATACAAATTTACCTCATTCAGCCTCAGTCCTCAAACTCTGAGCCTTCACTTATAACTAAAACCACACATGCAACCACGTCATCTTTAAACACAACACCTTCTATTGCACCCCTCAGTTCCACATCTACATGTAACAGCACTCTATATAAAAATAAAGCACTCAGGAGCTCCTCGGTTAGTCAGAAAAATTCTACATCCACAGCTAGCACCTCATCATCTACATTGACAGAAAACCAAAGTAATGCCTGTGCATCAAGTACAACTTTGCTTCAGGTAGCAGACACAACACATCAAGAACTTGGTTGTAATAAATGCCCCTACACAAACCAGCCTGGTTGCACACAAGCAGCAGACGTCAGAGTTCAAACCAATAAGGAATCCGGTCTCTGCAGTCTGCTCGCATTATCTGAATCACTAAATGTCTCAAGAAATCACATCAGAGACAATGATGCGAGTGCCTACAATCCTTCATTAACAACAGATAAAAATATTAAATTATATGCTGATAAAAACAAATTCAGTGGTAACCTAGTCAAGGAATTAGAGTCAAAAGAATGTAAAAATTCTAATCTATCACAGGTCACTAACCTCCAGAATTACATTTCCCTAATTAAGTCAAATAGCTCTTGTCTGCAGGGCTGCATAAACACAGAACAACAAAGGCTTGCACATTGTCAAGAATACACAGAAACAGAACACAAGGAACACTGTGCTCCATGCTCACCCATAAAAACAGCTCAGGAGACAGATTCATATACAGAAGAGTTTGCTTTGGGTATATCAGCCAGACATGCAAATATTAAGTTTGAATCCAGTGCAGATAAACAGACACACCCTATTTACTACATTAGATCTTCACTGGAAAACACTAATGCACATGTCCACCAAAACTCAGATTCACATGTATCATCGCTACCACAAGCACACAGTGGTACAGAGCTGTCTTTCACTGCACCAGCCCCATTCAAACGTGAGGGAGAGATTTGGAAGCACACAGGCCATGAAGGTAATTCCATATTGTTGTCATCAGCAATGCACTCAGCGTCCCATCACCTCCTCCAGTCTGATGAAGTGGAGGCAATGGTCAGACCAGACTCAAAGTTTCACCCTGCTACCCCAGAGGACACCAGTCTGGCTCATTCCCACCCAGCTGATGCAACCCTCTTGCCACCTTCCTCCCCACAGTGCTGCAAATCAGCAGCCCTACACCAGAGGCTGGAGACTGTGGAGGCTAGTTTGGCAACTAACAAGGACAGGATCATTACACTGCTTAACATCATCCATGACCTGGAGGCATGTCACACTCCAACCAGTGGGTAAGAGTGTGTGATATGTTTTGTTTGTTTGTTTTTTGTCTTAGTTTTTTGTTCTGCAAACAAAACAAAGAATCAACAGTGTTTGTTTCTGTGATTAATTATTATGCTTTATCTGTGTCATATACAGTTACAACAGAATTATTCAGTGATGTATGATACATACTTTAAATGAGCATTTAACATTTTTGGATACTAGATAAGAACAATTAGATAGGACTTCTAAATTATTAATATACTACCTTCAGTCCAATACAGGTACAGCTGCCAGGATTTGGTCTAGATCATTACTTTAAAAGCTGCCCTGCAGTGCTGCTCTGTTACTTTTCAGTGAGTCATCACTTTTGTTTACTGGAACCACTCAGTGGCTTTGTAGTTCTCTGGCAAACTAGGGTGTTTTTCGATCTAAACAACTTCTGTGTGCATATAATATTTCAGTGAAGAAATCAGTGGTTACTACAATGGCAGTAACAAACCATTTAACCAAGCTCTTGGTTTCTTCTACCTAATTTCAGTTTGCATCTGAAGATATTGATAAAGCTTGTTCTACATCCATATCTACTTGTAAATTAACATGCCAGATTATTGAAGCAGTTGTTTCTCAGATATTTGGTCTCTTGACTGATACATAGAAAAAATATAAGCTGTATTCCACTTTTTTACAATCACTGTATCTGGTGAATATAAAAATTTTTAGGAAGGTACAAATTTTAAGAGAGCTGTGGGTGATGTAGAGTTCAGTAAACTGTTAAGTGAACATTGCCTGACTTTGTACTAGTATTCATATTTGATCAACCAAATAAAGTCTTAAATAAGCTAATTATGATTTATGAAATAATTTTTACATCAATGTATAGAAAAATTCTAGTTGAAGGCGACTATACTGCTAAGATTTTATAAAACACGTTTTGTGTCCAGTATGAATCAGGGTTCATAGTGTGATGATGTGAAGCTGTAACATTAATGTGTTAGGAGAAGGCAACAGTGGTGCGGTGGGTAGAGCAGTCGTCTCCCAACTAAAAAGTTGAAGGTTTGAATCTCGGTGCTTCCAGTCCACATGTCGAAGCATCCTTGGGTAAGACACTGAACCCCCCTGTTGCCCCCGATGGTTAGAGCTATCGGTTGAGTTGGTGCTGCAGATGGCTGCCTTGGTTCTGTACCGGAAAGAAATTCTCTGTGTGTAACATACTTGGCCAATAAAGGTGGTTATCCTTAACGCTAAGAGGTCTGCAGATGCTCCCCTGAGTGTGAGAGAAACCTACTTGGACATTTTAATCTCTCTTCAAGAGATTTATTTAGCCATATAAGTCTTCTGGGACAAATAAGAGGAATTAAAACAGCCTTCTGGCGGAATGTCTCTGTCAATCATTCTCATCCACTGTAGTGTGCTAATAAGTTGTGACTGCCTCTGAGGTTGTGCTTCAGAATAACTCCTAATAACAGATTTGTGTCTGGCATAATGCATGGTATACTGATCATCATTACCAACAGTTTAAATGAATATCAGCCAGTGGATGACTGGAGACAATGTTAAACTGCAGGTCTGAAAGGATGCAAAATTTGGAAGTTAATTTTATATTATATTATTAATGTACCCAAATGGCTTTTGTTTGTTCTAGTTGGCAATGCTATAAAACTGGACAGGACCTCAAAAACTGTTCAACCTGCCAGAAGACTGCTTGCATAGTCTACAGGTGAGTTCATAGTGAAATTTCCAGTCTCAGCAATCTTGTATGCAATTTCTGACCTGGTAATTGTGTATATTCATATACTGTATACACAGTACTGTGCAAAAGTTTTAGGCCTCCATTAGATGTATTGTTTTAGCAATGTTATAATAACTATATATATTTATTTATCAAAGTGCAACTAGAAAATATAGGAAATATGTACACAGTATTAAAAAAACAAAAATATTAGAAAAAATCAGAAAAATCGTGAAACAAACTGGATACTCAAGATGTGGTATTCAAGCTGAAGAAATCCAGAGAGGCCAAGGACAAAAACAAGAGTCTGATGAGAAGTTTCTCAGAGTTTCTCCTTTGAAAGCCTGGAGGAAATCCAGCAACGACCTGGCTCAGCATCTGGCACCTTCTTCTGGATGCCAAGTTGACCCTTCCACAATCTGAGGAAGTTCGATCAGAAAAGGCCTGGGTGAAAGAACAGCAGCCAAGAAATCATCTTTTCAACAGGAAGAAAAGTCTGAGATATGCAAAATTTCACAAAGAATGTTTGGGTCCAATTGTCAACAGTATGTGAGAAGAAGAGTTGGAGAAAGGAGGACGTATGAGTGCTTGCAGCCTTCAGTGACACATGGTGGAGGGTCTGTCATGGTTTCAAGTCAGTCTCCCCAAAAGAATTCAAGCTGTGCTAAGTGCAAAGGGAGGTCAAACTAAGTACTGTCTTTGGACTGTAGAAGCCATTTTGTTCTGAAAATGTTGTGTTTTTTAATGCTGTTTCCATATTTCCTACATTTTCTGGTTATATCTTAATAAAAAGAAATAAGGTAATGCTATATTTTACAGGCTGAAACTTGCAGCATACATAACCTGCATTTATTAGCAAGATTCAGCCCACCTGCCATTTATGTTGCCCAGCAGTCCTCTGCCAGCCTGCTCACTTCACTTATTAAAAACTTATTGCATGGACAGCTTACCAAGGGTAAAGCTGCCCACTGCTCATTTGTTTTTTGCTCAGAATAAATAGGCAGATTACATTTGCTCTTTGTGCAGATCATAAATCTTTTGGAATAACTGTCATATTTAAATTCTTACTATATGTGACAAAATGTATTCACACAGCAGATCTATGGAGATAAAGATGGACTTTCTAAAATTAAAGCAAGCTATGAGGAACATGTCATGCCCAAGTGGCCTGCTTCATTGATTTATTATAATTGTAGTGCTCGGTTTATTGAGGCTATTGTAACTTGCAGACAAGGTGACTTTATTTCATGCAAAATAAAATATATCAGCAGATGTAGTGAGCTGTAAGAGGGGGGTGAATTTGACTAAAGTAGCTTTATCTTACTAAAATAACTTTAGCTTACAGTAAAATGAGACATTTTGCCTTTTTGATATTTTCATATCCCGCAGCAGTTTTTGGAAGGCATCAGTTTAAATCTGCCATTTGGACAACAAAAATAAAGAAGGTTGTTAGATTTGTACATCTAAGTTGTAAGCTTTATTTAATAAAAAAATATATAATCACATATAATGTTTGATAGTGGTGTGAGAAAAGCTTTTAAAACATATATCTTGCCAAGATATATGAATTAGATACGATGTATTAAGACTTCATGTACTTGTTAGCTTGCGTGTACAGTGCCTTGCGAAAGTATTCGGCCCCCTTGAACTTTGCGACCTTTTGCCACATTTCAGGCTTCAAACATAAAGATATAAAACTGTAATTTTTTGTGAAGAATCAACAACAAGTGGGACACAATCATGAAGTAGAACGAAATTTATTGGATATTTCAAACGTTTTTAACAAATAAAAAACTGAAAAATCGGGCATGCAAATTTATTCAGCCCCCTTAAGTTAATACTTTGTAGCGCCACCTTTTGCTGCGATTACAGCTGTAAGTCGCTTGGGGTATGTCTCTATCAGTTTTGCACATCAAGAGACTGAAATTTTTGCCCATTCCGCCTTGCAAAACAGCTCGAGCTCAGTGAGGTTGGATAGAGAGCGTTTGTGAACAGCAGTTTTCAGTTCTTTCCACAGATTCTCGATTGGATTCAGGTCTGGACTTTGACTTGGCCATTCTAACACCTGGATATGTTTATTTGTGAACCATTCCATTGTAGATTTTGCTTTATGTT